GAGCTAATGTCCCCTGGGCGTGGGAGAACACTATGCCGGAGAATCGAGGAGGAACTGAAGCGAATTGGAGCCTGTAACCTCTCGAAATAGTTCTTAGCTCCCAATGTGAAGCAGAAACCACTGTCCATTCCTCTATGTGAGTTGAGAGCGGTGACACAGCCGTGGCACACGGAGCTGCAGCTTCCTCCAGAGGCTGTGGGGCAGTGGTGCTTGTGGCAACTACTGCTCATGCGCGGGGACTTTTGCTTTGGCGGCCCTGGCGTACGGAGACGACCTGTGGCTGGCGGGAAAGTCTGCCAGGTGCCGCTCCCACCTGGTTCCGCTCATCTGCATCATTTTTATTGATTTTTGCTGCGCCCTTGACATTCTGTCTGGATGCGGCAGCAAACTTTTTAATGATTCTTGAGCGTGACATGTTTGTGAAAAACAATGTGAGTGCTTGTGACGTGTGTTTTGAGCCGGCACAACCGGTTGCACGTCCTGGCCCCACCCTGAACCACTCGGGGACTCTGCCGGAGGGGTCCCGCGAGGGGGGGAGAAAGCACCATGGTAACACCGAACAGGTGGAGCTGGCGAACGGGGAACTGCCAGCTGCAGCGTCGGGAGGGAAAGATCTCCGTCAGGCTGCTCTTTTCTTCTTTCTCACCTGCTGACCGCCGGGCCGGGTGGGTTGTCCCGGTGGCGGAGCGGTTTGGTTGCCGGACCTCTGAGGCCAAACTGGTCTAGGCGCTGAGCCCGAAGGAGCTGGTTGGACTGCTGGAGGTTGGTGAGGTTCAGCCATCATGCACGTTCCTGAATCACCATCATGCCCATAGCTTTAGCCGTGGCCTGGACCGCGCAGTGCTGCACCCGCAGGCAGATGTCGGTCAGTACGGTGATTTCCTCCCACACCTCCGGGTCCGGTTTCGTATTCATGTCCTCACAGAGCTCGGCTTGGTACGCTGAGAGCATCGAGGAGATATTCAAAGCTCGGACCGAGATGGCGGCAGCCTTGTACGCCCTCTCGTTCAGCGCCGACTGGGAGCGGTCCGCCTTTGCAGGGAGGCCTGGAGGAAGTTGCCGAGAGCCGTGGGTGCAGGTGGGCTGCAACCAGCGGTTCCATCGGCGGCATGCAAAGCATGCCAGCCTTATCCATACCCTTGAAGTCCAGCAAGGAGGCTCCTTGAACAGGAGACCTGGAGCTGAAAGGGTGTTTGTCCCAGGAGGATCTCACTTCTTGGAGGAATCTTCGGGAAGGCGGGCAGGAGAGGCTTTGCCGCCCTTGTGGCCTGAGGCAGCTTCTTTCCCTCGTAGCAGGATCTGACAGCTTCAGTGACCACGGTGGGCCAAGGGATGTTGAGCCTGGTCGCAGCGCGTCGGCAGACTGACTGCATGTCCAGGTGGGCGGCCGGAGAAACCGCTCCATCCCTGGGAGAGGACGGAAAGCTAGGCATGGAGGCCTGAGCGATGGGGAGAAAAACATTGTCATCCTCTTCCTTCTCTGAAATGAGGAGATCCGAGGTGTCCTCGTCGTCTCCGTAATCCAACTCCAACACGTCCTCGACGGGGTGGCTCAGAACGGCCAGTTCGACCTGTGAGCCCCAGCTGTGTTCGGCACACGGTTCCGGCTCCAGGAGGGCATGTTCGCCGGCGTCCCCAGGCGGTGGCCCTGGGGCCGGCAGGCAAGGGTCCTTCCCTGAGAGGCTATCTTGGCGCGCTAGCCGCCAGCGAAGGCTCTTCAGGGTGAAGCAAGCACAGCTCTCACATGACCCGGGGACTTCCAATGCCAGCTGGGTGTGTTCAAGCCCGAGGCAGCTCAAGCAGACCTTGTGCGGGTCTTTGCTCGAGATTTTGTTCCCACCGGTACAGAGGCGAGCTCCTGCACCGTCAACTCCTCTGGTGGAAGGAGCGGCTTCCATGTGGGCTAACTGGTGTGTTAGCCAGAGAACGAACAGGTGCACTGGAGTGTGAAGCTGCTCGCTATGCTCCGAGCCTATGGTGAAGGTCAGGACAGAAGGACAGTAAGTTAACGTTCGGCGACGGAGAGAATATTAGCTGGCTCTGTCTGTGAACAGATGAGCTAACTTACCTGAGATAAGCAACCACCAAAGCGAGAAGAGGTGATTGAATGGTGCGTGCGTTGGGACGCTTGCTACTTGTAGTAGCAGGGGACATGTACGTCATGGTCACTGGCCAATCAGGATTGGCGTTTTGAGATAAGTGCTTCTTAGGAATCCGCGGAGGGACGTATCCCATAGTGAGACATCGAAACGAATGTTAACAAAGAGAACTGTTCAGAATGCAGACTGAACAAAATGCATGTTGTATATAATAACATCCAAAAGATACATGGAAAGGTCATTGTGGAAACATGCTTCATACATATAGAGCTTGGTGAAGTGCAGGAGAGTTTTCATAGAACAGAACTTATTAGAAAAAAAAAAGATTTGGTGAGTACTAAGCGCATAGCAATGTCGTGATTACCTTCACATTTAAAAGCCATGTTCACTGAGAAACCATTTTTTTAACTTATAATTGAAACATGTCATTTAATTTGAAATGAAATATGATGGTTTCCTCTGAGTTTAACATGCAGGCTAAATGTGAAAACCGTCTTCTACCCCTATTTCCTGCATTAGCCAAAGATAGATAGAGACGGGGAAATGCTTGGATTAGCAAAGTTTGATATTTGTATGTCGCATTGTAAAATTAACATTCATGGCCTCACCCATCTTGTTGATTTAGCGTCCAGGAGTGAGCAGAGCATGTCTTGGCTTGCAGAAACTAACCGTTAGCGTTAGCAGCTACACAACATGGCAGAACTCCTGTAGGCTTGTCTTATTTGTGGAGATAAAATATCAACACTGCAAAGCAAATGGAGTCGGTGGCACAGTGGTGTTGCTGTTAGGTAACCAGAGGTGAGATTTCCAAATATCTGGAAAAATAAGACTTCTGCAGTGTTCTGATCAACTCTGACCTGGCTCGCTGCATTTAAATAAAGAATAAGTAAAATAGTTCCTGAAACAGGAGCTCCATAACTTTGTTCTCACAGAGATCAACTCATAAGGCATTTGTTTGTACTAGAGTCCAATGCAAATGTGTTGGAAAAAAAATAATGAGTGAACTCTCTAAGAAGATTTTCCAAATTTGTTACAATCCAGCCGTTTTCATACAGGTTAGGTCATGGACAGTTGTCTGACCTGTGTGACAGGACCCTAAACCAGCCATCCATCCATCCATGGTCATTTGTCTAAACGCATGCAATTCTGATTAAAAGGCACCTGGATGTGACTTCAGGGAAGTCAACCAGCTCACTAATGCCTTCCAGTTTGTTCCCATTTTATTAAGTTGAAGATTTTTTGTCAAGAAGTGATGCAACACACTGAAGTAGGGATGCCTCGGTTTTAGTTAATTGTGTGTCTGTGTTTTAACAATGCAGTTATAAAAATGTAGGGGTGGGATGCTTGTCACTGGGAGGACATGCAGTTTAGACTGGAAGGGGGAGCCAGAAAGTATTCCTGGAGCATTGTTGATGATGAAAATAAGGTGTGACTCTGCTTTCAGGCATCTCTTATATCCTCTTTCCTTCATGAACCAGTGTCCCGTGAAATTGGGCTCTAAATTACGAGGCTGTGTGAAGGTTTTAAAAACGATCCGCGCAGCTGCTAAGGACATTGACTGGACCACAACAGTCAGCAGCAGGAGCTGACAGTCCGTTGGCCTGGCTTTAGGTTGGGACCATTCCAGTGTTGATAATCAGGAAAGAAATTCTCCATATCACCCTTTCAGAGGTGGTTATATATGTGTGATCACTCTCATCATTATCTGCTCAGATGCAGGACCGAGATGGTCACGAGTTTGGATTTAGAGATAGATCCGATCAGTTTCTCCTGTTTGTCTTGGACGGCACTCCTCCCTCCAGTAAAACATTGTCTTTATTTAAATAACAAGGCTCTTATCTCAGTGAGTTACTGTTCTGCTGGCGACTGCATTCCCTCACTATCACTGTTTTGCACTTCCTCCTCTTCAGTTTTGTCTTTAAACATACACCGCCACGCCATGCCCTCCCCCCTTTTCTCTTCCATTCTGGCCCTCACCTCACCTCTCTAAGTCCATTGTTCCTGCCATAGAAGAGAAAGTGAAGATATTAGATTCTTACATTTAGTTCAAGTCATTCTTTTCTTTTCCATCACTGTTGATTTTATGCTGCAAATTTAATCTGTCTCTATAGAGCTGTAAACATCTTGCTTGGATTGATTCTGCTTTCCAGTAAAGTGGTAGTGAGCCGTTTCCCTTTCAGCAAAACTGCCCAGCATTAGATATCTTGCCAGAACTCCACTTTTAGGATGACATATCTTCACAGGTGTATAAGAAAGCATTATCTTTTTTTTAAAAAAGGGACATAACGTTAGAAGAGAGACATTTGGTTTCTTTTACTTGTGTCCTGGTTTTATACTGATGTGAAAGTGATAGCTATATGGCTCATCAGTGATACTTCCACACACATGAAGTGATTCTGCTTCGCCTACTTGTCTCAGATGCCTCTCTGTACATTTGAACATGTCCAAATGTTCAAAAGGGCACACTTGGCATCAAAGGGTCATTTGATTGGAGGAACTTCAGTCAGAAAAAAGCCATTTGTCAGCAGGATCTGCCACTCAGCTTGAAGCTTACAAGATGTGGACAAAACTCAATTTCAGCATTAATGGAATAATACCACGGTTAATGTGACGTCTACTGGAGCAGAACACAGGGTCAAGCCAAGGTCAAAGCCTTGGTTGTTGAGTTCTACACCACATGGATGTGATACCTGATTTACAGCCATTGATAATTGACATTAATACTATACTGATGCTTAAAACCAAATGAATTGTCCAGGGGTTCTGGAGTCGTCCACCCAAGCATTAATCACTTGCTTACAGCTATTAAAGATGCAAGTATAAAATTAAAGCTATGATTAAACCTTTTCTTAAAAATCTTTCAGATTTCGGGAGGTTAATGTGTGTTTTTGTATTCCTCAGGGTTACTTCTTGCTTTATGAGTCCATGTTGGACTCTGTCCTGTATGCCAGAGACCTTTACTTGGCTGATGGTGGTTCAGGTAGGTGACATTTCTAAAAAGAAGTTGGCAATATAATTTACTTTTTGCTATCAGACTAAGTATCCAATGTTAATTTTACCCACAAAATAACCAAAAACCAAATTTTTCTAATCACTAAAGTAACAAAACACCTCAAAGGAAGAAATATGCTAAATCATACTAGTGTTAGTTCATGCTTAAGTTGACATCTTTCACCATGGAGAATCAGTTTGTGATGGACCTGAGTGGAGAATCTCATGTTTGTAGGAATCAGCATCATTCAACATACGTCTGCCTGTATGAAATGTAAAACTTGTGAATGAACATGTGAATTCTGTAAGAACAGCCCTGTTTGGTTGTAGATTTTTGTTTTCTCCTGCTTACAAGAAGAAAAATGCATTTTTTATATTCTCTTTCATGTTTGTTCACGGTTTCTGCAACAAAAAAACGTGTCAACACTCATGTTACTAAACAACGTTAGCCTAATTCAGATTTTTTTTATATATTTTTTTTACATCTTTTTTCATTGAAACACTTAAGAGATCAACAATGTCCTCCACATCTTGGTGTTTAAAACCCTGTGCCAGGGCCGGCTTTGCTGACAGGCGACACAGGCGGCCGCCTGGGGCGCCATCTGATGGATAAGGCGCAAAAAAAAAGTTTATTAAATGTATGTTTGTTAAATGAAATGCACTCTCTACATACTCAAAATTCCCCTCTGAAACGACATGAAATTAAAACATCAATATTTTAATTCTAATGATCTGGCTGCATGACGAGCTCCCGCTTGGGCCACCGCTCCGATGCATTGCGGCGCAAATGGGCTTTCTCGCTTTGGGCACCAAATCACCTAGAGCAAAGCTGTTAAAGGGCTGCAGAGGTAGTGGTCATAGTTATAAGAGAAGTGGGTTTGAAAGATGGAAACAGGAAGATGTGCACACAGTGGCTTTATTTGGTCTCTGCACTTTGATTGTCCCTCAGTGGCAGCTAGGCTTAAATGTGATAAAAGATATGTTTTTGAATGCAGATTGAAGTCAGAATTATAAAACCTGCTTGTGCACAAAGACAAAGGCCTGATGCTTTTAGGTACCCGTCCCTTTTGTCACCCCATCACTGCCAAACATTTAATGACTTGTGCCATATGTGTCCACTCTGAGGAACGATTCCACCATGCTGCCTTTACTGGTTCTTTGCAACCTGAGAGAGGTCACCTGTACACACAGACTTAGACACATGTCCACGCACAGGCATGGCGAGAATAATAGCTCCTATGGAGACAGATCAGCTACTGGGGAAGATTGGACAGGCGAGACGTGACCTGAGTGTGACAGAGAATTACAGGCCAGAGGTAACCGTATTGTTTAGCGTTCGTCTTGCAAGTTGGTGTATTCCCATTTGATCTGTTGCCCACCAGAACTGCAGTAGGAGGTGAAGTGATAAAAACTCAAAATCACACCAAAAATGCTGCAGACTTGCACAGTATTGCAAAATAAGAAAACACTGCAATCACATAGTTATTAGTTATTATTTGAGTGTTCTGAAATGTATGATGATATGTTTTTACATCTTTCGTTAATTGAAATCTTTGAATGTTTTTCTTTTCCAACTGCTGCACACTTTGTAGACTGTTTGTATTATACACATAAATTGGCCATGGAGGTTATTTGCATTTTATTTGACAAAGTCATGTTGTGTTGCTGATTCCATTCCTATTCACTATTCCCAGAGGATGTATTAGGGCTGGGCGATATATCAATAATTTTAAAATATTGATATAATTTTTAAACAAGATATAAGATGACTTTATATCTTTATATCGATATAACTGGTCAAACTGCTATGCTAGCGATTAGCCGCAATGCTAGCGAGATGTTGCTCCGTCTCTAAGTGGTTACTACATGTATTCTCACAAATTTGCTCAATCTGAGAGCCTTTGGGTAAATGTGCTGGTCTAAACTTTGCATTTGGCGTCCTGATTTTGAATTATTTGGGGATGTTCAACGCAAACGGAGTTCTGTTTTTCCACCCTGCTTGTGCGGAGAGACGAGCCAAACCCCTCCCTCCAGTGTTGCCAGATCCAAAATCCCACAATATCGTACAGAGAGGCCTAAATTATCGTTTTTCAGTACAAATTATCGTACATTATAAATATGATAATAACGTTCTATAAACGACTTCTCACTCCCATATAATATAACAAAGAATGTGTTTTATATTGCCCTGTTTAAAAAAACATCTTTAAAACCAGTAATATAATGCCTATAAACGTGCAGAGTGTGTCGGCACCACTCCGACCTCCACGCATTGACACAACATGCACATTTGCGCAGTCCTATTTATTTCATTTCTACATAGGTTAAAAGCACGCGACAAAACATCACAGCAGTGGAAAAACTGACCCAATAAATAACAAAGAAGCCTACTCACCTAGTTGCTGATCTCGATCTCCTCATCTGATTCACTGTCGGTCGCAGCAGAATGTCTTTAATCACCTGTACTAAGTGGTCTGTGCTTCTCATTGCAATGTTGTGCTCGGCTAAAAAGCCACATAGCTTGATTTCAGCATTTTTCACATCATTTTCAAACTTCTCTTTTTCATTAGTTTGCTGGAGACATTTAAGAATAGATGTCTGGTTTGGCACAATGCATTTTACCCTTTCTTTTTGTTTAGCTCCCTTTGCGTGATTCTTGAGAACGGTGATTTCTGATACCATCTGGATGTTTCAGCAACGACAGAAAGCCTTGGTTTCGTTCCCCGTAACAGGTGTAAACCATCCTTTGAAAATAGGGTCCAACTCCCACGCAGAATGATAAACTTGTGTCCGGTGTTTCTTTGCTTTACCTTCATCCGTCCCTTCTCTGGTTAGAAGCCATTGTCTCGTCGCTCTGTCCTCCTAGATTAGACTTAACTCGGCGCGCTCGCAGGCCAACAGCAAAAACCGGCGGGCCACTGCCACATTATATAACCTTACAGTTTCTCGCGAGAGTAGGCCCTATCGATGTGATTGGGCTATTTATTGTACAGATCCAGAGTCAGTTTTTGTAATAGAGACAATAGCATAAACCTGTAAGCACTGAGGTGAAATCTGACTTCAGAACAGTTTAAAATTATGTAATTGACTTGGGAAAGCCACAGCAAAAGACGGTGTTACTAGATGCAATGTGAAATTATCGTACATTTGAGGATTTTTGAAACTATTGATCGTACATCGTACAGAGCCCAAAATTATGGTACAAATACGATAATTATCGTACATCTTGCAACACTGCCTCCCTCCCAGTGAAATGGGAAACATCTACAGATAGCCGGAGTGGCCAAATTACCTCAAACGTATTGTAAGGGTTTGAATAGTAAACTATAGGGTTAACATTTTATTTTGAAGGCGAGCTCAACGGGTGAGAAATGTTGTTCCGGTGTTGTGCCATAAATCGACTCGCTGCCAAAAAATGATTAGCCACTAAAGAAAGGAAGGGGGAAAAAATCAAATCGCTGGAGAATTGTTTATTTACATTTATACAACGTTTACATTCAATACAGGGCGCCATTTTACATTGTTTATTTATTTTTTAGTATCAAGGCTGTAACATAAAGAAAGCCAGTTCTTACAACAAACCATCTTTCAATCGCAAATATTGCAAAAAGGATTAATATATCCTCGTTGTGAACGTTTAAGACAAATAGCAACACTTAAAACAACTTCCGAACTGGAAAAAACTAAGCTAATCATTTTTTGGCAGCGAGCCGATTTATGGCACAACACCTGTTTTGGTTCTTTCCGCTCTCATTTGCTATGCTAGTAAATACTCCGTTACGAGCGATTCCATTGAAAACGTTAAGGGTTTGTAAGCCGTGGGTTACAGCGACAGTAGCCTGAAAATAATACTCATAAAAGAGCAACCAGAGACTCTGTCATTACAGTATAATCGCTGATATGAATCAATACTGTTAGATTTCAGCCATGTTTGCCCTAATAAGTAATAGCTCCACGGTGCATGACCCATGTGATCTTCAGTAGATGCAGTTACATCATCATAAATTTAGTTTTAACAGAAGAAAAAAGAAGATCAAAAGTTGCTTTTCTCGCTAGTTGGTACATATCTATGGTTGGTGCTATTGACGTCCTGATTTTCCCCAGGCTCTTCCATATCAGAGCAGGGCTGTACGGTGCAATGAAAAAAACTGTCTGTGCGTGTCTGTCTATTTTTAAACGTAGCACTGGTGCCACGTCTTTGAATTACTATTTTCCCCAGGACTTTATTGAACAAAAGCAAGTTACGTGTAAGAAAAATGCTTTTTACTGGCACACAGTGTAGTCATCTGGATGCAGTGGAGGAAAATAAAGGAACCAGCAAAGGCAGAACCGGTCCAAAGTTTGGGATCAAAAGTGCAGCTAATGCTAAAGCTAACGGGTAACAGTCTCACGATCAAGTGGTGCACAGACAAATATATGATGATCGTTAAACTAAGAAAGACTAAACTCTACAAGCTGATGAAAAGTCCCCACCATCCTGTTTATTGTGCATCCTGCAGCGCTATGGATCAGAACCGCTGCAGATACGAGTCACATTACTGCTACAAGTCTGCTCCACACACAGGAGCAGGAAGTTTGAAAAGCCAATGTAATATATAATACGCAAGGCTTCTATCTTTGAACATAATTTAAACTGGATTATCGCCAACCTATACATAATAGACATGCCACCATTACATTGATAGCAGCAGAAATTAAATGTTATTATCGTTCCCAATACAAATTCATGTTAATGAAATGCATTATATTTTACTGGATATATTTATGTGTTATTTTGACTAAGATGAGTGTTAATACAAACCTAAGATGTTACTGAAATGTAGGTAAACTATTTAAAAATATTTTTAATTACAAATATTACATGGGAAAAAGGTAACTTTGGAGTTTTGAAACACCAAAGAGAAGAATAACTTTTTACTCCCATTGTTTTGGATTCACCAGTTTCCAGCAGCAGCGGGCTGCCCGCGAAGGTGCCTGACTTTAAATCGG